ACAAGCAAAGTCATAGGTGGTGAGAAACTAAAAAGATGAACATGTACTTGCGAAGGAAAGGAATGGGGTAGTAGTGCAAACCAGGGTAGGCAAGGACAGTTACAAAGAAAAGGTATGTCTGGTTGAAGAGTCAGTTAAATGAGATATGGGTAACTACCATATGGCAGCTGTTGAAGGGTGTGGGAGGGTTGGAGGAAACTGCTTCCTAAATTGAAATTAGGTAGCTCACTGACATGAGAAAATCCCATGCTCACAGCAGCAACAGAAGGTGATTGCTTGTCCTAATATGTTACTCTCTCCCCAGAAAGTAACTCTTTAAAACATTTGGTGAGACTGGTACTGGTCATACCAAAATACTGGCTGTCATTTGATGCTATAGTGTTTGCTGATTAAGGAAATATCTGTCAGAATCTTTTAAAATGTTTTTTCTTTTTGTTTCAGGCAAACCACAGCTGAAGTTGCTTGAACAGCTCTTCAAGTTTTCCTATCAAAGACAAACTGGATTTACACCCTAAGTGTGGTTCCTCACCACATTTTGTGTGTAAATAGAAAACTCCTTTCTCTCTCTCAGAACAGTCCTCCCCTTCTCTGGTATAGGTTACTCCTGTACCTGTTAAGGAGATTCCTGTTATAAGACAGAGACTGTGGTAGTTCTTACTGCTGAATAGGAAAGGAGGAAGAACAAAGAAGCATATTGAAGCCTCTGATATTTCCAGTGGCAGTGCACACATAAATATGGTAGCTCCATATGAAATTGGTGACCCAGTACGATCATTTGTACGAGTTCCAGGAAGTGGATCTGATAAAACAGCAAAGTCATTATGCTGTGATCTTGCTAGGGTATCATCAGTCGCTGCAACAGTCCCAGTACGGCCAGTAACTCCAGCTTCCACACGGCTGAGGTCAGCAGCAGTAGAAAATAAGGAACAGACTGCAGTGGTGAAAAAGGAAGGTGTGCAGATTAAAGAAGAAAAGAATGAAGCAGCAGTTGTAGATTCACAGCATTCAGCTGCTGAGCAGAGAAGGGAAGTGAAATGCAAGAAACGCCATGCAGAAGACTCAGAAATGATGGTACATGCCAAAAGAGGCCGTGTGTCAGGTGAAGAGACGTCTGAAGTGACACCTAGTTCCTCTAAAGGCTCAAACCCTGGTACTGAAGGAGAAAAGTCTGCAGTTCATGAAAAACTGGAGATTTTGGAAAAGGAGTGTATTGAACTAAAACAGCAGAATCGTCAGCTGCAGCAGAGATTGTCATTATTCTGCAAACTTTTCAAGGATCCAAAGAAGCTTGCATTTGCATTAAAGCGAATGGAAGTTCAAGCCAACTAAATGTTTTTGTCATTGTAGTTACTCATCTGCCAAGAGAATCTGAATAGGAAGATATAACCCATTGCAGTTTTATGAATACACTCTTATGTATATTCAACCTCATTGTGGCAAGGAGCCAGTTTCATGAATACACTTTATGTATATTCAACCTCATTGTGGCAAAGAGCCAGTTTTATGAATACACTCTATGTATATTCAACCTCATTGTGGCAAGGAGCCAGTTTCATGAATGCACTTTATGTATATTCAACCTCATTGTGGGCTTTATGAATACACTTTATGTGTATTCAACCTCATTGTGGCAAAGAGCCAGTTTATGAATACACTTTATGCATATTCAACCTCATTGTGGCAAGGAGCCAGTTTCATGAATACACTTTATGTATATTCAATCTCATTGTGGCAAAGAGCCAATTTATGAATACACTTTATGTATATTCAACCTCATTGTGGCAAGGAGCCAGTTTCATGAATACACTTTATGTATATTCAACCTCATTGTGGCAAAAGAGCCAATTTATGAATACCGTATATTCACCTCATTGTGGCAAGGAGCCAGTTTCATGAATATACTTTATGTATAATTCAACCTCATTGTGGCAAAGAGCAATTTATGAATACACTATATATATTCAACCTCATTGTGGCAATGAGCCATTTCATGAATACACTTATGTATGTTCAACTTGTGGCAAAGAGCCAATTTATGAATACACTATGTATATTCAACCTCATTGTGGCAAGGAGCCACTTTCATGAATACACTTTATGTATGTTCAACCTCATTGTGGCAAGGAGCCACTTTCATGAATACACTTTATGTATATTCAACCTCATTGTGGCAAGGAGCCAGTTTCATGAATACACTTAATGTATGTTCAACCTCATTGTGGCAAGGAGCCAGTTTCATGAATACACTTTATGTATATTCAACCTCATTGTGGCAAAGAGCCAATTTATGAATACACTTTATGTATGTTCAACCTCATTGTGGCAAGGAGCCAGTTTCATGAATACACTTTATGTATATTCAACCTCATTGTGGCAAAGAGCCAATTTATGAATACACTTTATGTATGTTCAACCTCATTGTGGCAAGGAGCCAGTTTCATGAATACACTTTATGTATGTTCAACCTCATTGTGGCAAAGAGCCAGTTTATGAATACACTTGGTGGCAAGGAGCCAGTTATGAATACACTTTATGTATATTCAACCTCATTGTGGCAAGGAGCCAGTTTCATGAATACACTTTATGTATGTTCAACCTCATTGTGGCAAGGAGCCAGTTTCATGAATACACTTTATGTATATTCAACCTCATTGTGGCAAAGAGCCAATTTATGAATACACTTTATGTAATGTTCAACTCATTGTGGCAAGGAGCCAGTTTCATGAATACACTTTATGTATGTTCAATCATTGTGGCAAGGAGCAGTTTCATGAATACTTTATGTATATTCAACTCATTGTGGAAAGAGCCAAATTTCATGAATACACTTTATGTATGTTCAACCTCATTGTGGCAAGGAGCCAGTTTCATGAATACACTTTATGTATATTCAACCTCATTGTGGCAAGGAGCCAGTTTCATGAATACACTTTATGTATGTTCAACATCATTATTTTCATCATTGTGGGCATTTCCACTTTATGTATGTTCAACCTCATTGTGGCAAGGAGCAGTTTCATGAATGACTTTAATGTTATTCACCTCATTGTGGCAAGGAGCCAGTTTCATGAATACCTTTATGTTGTTCAACTCATTGTGAAGGACCGTTTTATGGAATACTTTTATGTATATTAACGTATTGTGGAAAGAGATTTATGATACAGCTTTCAGGGCAAGGAGCCAGTTTGCATGAATACAGCACAACCTCATTAAATGAGGATGGCATTTGAGTGGTAACAATTTGGCAAGGAGCAGTTTCATGAATAAGTTTATGTTGTTCAAAGACCAAACGTGCATGCACGCGCAGCAAGTTCATGAATAAACTTTATGTTGTTTCAACCTGTGGCAGGAGCGTATGAATGACTTATGGTATATCCTCCTCATTGTGGGCAAAGAAGCAATTTATGATACACTTTTATAGTGTTCACCCTCATTGTGGCAAGAGCCAGCATGAATAAACTTTATGTATTTCAACTCATTGTGGCAAAGAGTATTTATGAATACACTTTATGTATATTCTCATTGTGGAGGAGCAGTTTCATGAATACATTTATGTATATTCAACCTCATTGGCAAGGAGCAGTTTCAATGGAATACACTTTTATGTATATTCAACGTCATTGTGGCAAGGAGCAATTTATGAATACACTTTTGTGCACCTCATTGTGGCAAGGAGCCAGTTTCATGAATACACTTTATGTATGTTCAACCTCATTGTGGCAAAGAGCCAATTTATGAAAACACTCTTATGTATATTCAACCTCATTGTGGCAAAGAACCAATTTATGAATACACTTTATGTATGTTCAACCTCATTGTGGCAAGGAGCCAGTTTCATGAATACACTTTATGTATATTCAACCTCATTGTGGCAAAGAGCCAATGAATACACTTTATGTATATTCAACCTCATTGTGGCAAAGAGCCAGTTTCATGAATACACTTTGTATGTTCAACCTCATTGTGGCAAAGAGCCAATTTATGAATACACTTTATGCATATTCAACCTCATTGTGGCAAAGAGCCAGTTTCATTTCTTGAATATCATTGTGGCAGAGCCAGTTCTATGGAACACACTTTATGCATATTCAACATTATCAGGTCAAAAAAGTAATTTTGTAAGCTGATGTGCTCATCCAGGTAGCAAAGGGCCATGTTTGTATTGAGAGAAACCAGCCACCTAAAAATCTGATGGACCTTTAGCCTGTGTATGTTGAAATAGCTGTGGAAGAGCCAATTTTACAGGAAGAAATTGAAAGTTTGTTGAACTTATAATTATAGTTACGTATACAATTATTATAGTCGTTATGTATGCAAACTTCCTGTCAGGAGCTGATAATTCTTTCTGACCAAATTAAAGTTATTCATCTTTTTCATGTTAAGGATCTCATTTATTTTGGTTTGATTTTTTCTTTAATATATATATATATATATATATATATTATATATATATATATATATATATATATATATATATATATATATATATATATATATATTTTTTTTTTTTTTTTTTTTTTTTTTTTTTTTTTTTTTTTTTTTTTTTTTTACCATTAACCAATTACCTTTATTAAATTTTTGTTCAAGACTATTGTGACAAGAGATGAATTCCCCTGAACACCAAAGATGCTGGGTCAACTACTGACGATAAAGAGCTGATGTTAATGAATGTGCCCACTGTTTCAAACAGCAGTAGCAAAGACCTCGTTAGTTTAATTGCGCAGGTTGATAGGGTCAACAAATTCCAGACTTCAAGAAAGCAACTGTGAAATAATCTCCAAATTGATTTTTAACCGATCGACAGCACATAGATTTTCAAGAACCACGTTTATAAAAGTTTTGAGTCTGATAGAGTATTTAGCTTTACTATTAGTTTTGATGTGTTTTTGTCATTGTTACTCTGGTATAGCATGACTTTATAGGGATATCACGTGGGTGTGTTCCCCTGTGGGACGAGGGGTGCCGCTATCCATTTACCGCTGTCCACCTATGCGAGCTTATGCAATGCCGATGCGGCGGGACCCGCGCAAGTCCAACGTAGCCCGGAGGACGCGCGGGTTATAGCCGCTCCTGCTGCTCGCTTTTTTGCCGGCGCGGTTGGGTCAAAAATAAGGGCATGGTGCGACCCAAACCTGCAGTCCTGTCTTATGCTGACGATCCCTAGCGGCGGCATTATATTATTATCTAGTAACCGTGCCACAAAGTTGAGGCTTTATGCGATCGTAGGTTCTATTTCCCTCGTATTGGGCCACGCGGCATGGACGGACGCCTTATATTTTTATTTATCTTAGTGCACATTGATTCATAGTGATTGTAGGCTTCATTAATTCGAAACTTATAAAGTGCCACTAAGTGGGGACCCACGCTCAATGTCACTTGACATGGGTTGTGGCTTATGGATAAACAGGAATATCCTATCGCTATATCATTACGTATTATTATTATCATTATTATGTGTATTATCATTAATATCTATCAATTATTAAGTTTCCATAACTGAGATATATTATCTGTGATTAGTTATTATTAATATTCCGATGGCAATTCCCAATCGATTATTATTGGAATATCTGATCATTATTTTCAAATTTACAAAATTTTATGTCCATCAAGATTGCTGCGGTATGCGAGGACTAAGTACTATATTACCATACTTTACAGGCGGCACAGTGGCGGCCGGATATTGCACTGAAATGGCTTTTTGAATAAATAATAATATACCGACAGAAAAACGTGAGAATAAAGATCGATGTGAGTATGAAGAGTATAGTGTGAGAAGTGGCGATAACTAGTTTGATATGGATGTTGTGTATTGTGCTGGATCTTGTGTATAGTAGTCCGATGTGTGATGGTGTGTGTGTGGTGTAGTGACTGCAATATGTGTGGTTCGTTCTTTGGAGTCTGGGAATTCCGTGTTTTTGTGTGTGTGTGTGATTTGTGCGCCTAGTTTCTCATAGATGTCTGCGCACCAAACTAAAAAACTAGTTCCGGTCTTTTCTTACAACGGATACAGACCAGTCGCTGGACCCACCATGGCTGTGCGTGCGTATTATAATGTATTTGTATGTGTGGCTCCTATATTTTGCTCAGTTGTCTAGGTATTTTGCTAGTACTCTTCTGATGTGTGGTTTATATAGATTATCCTTCGCTGTTATGTATTGCATATGTTGCACCTCGTCATGTTTATGGCGTGTGTTACTAGTATTGTTTGTTCTGTCATTAATGTGTGTCCTGCGCGTGCTTATCTATGTTTATATATATAATAGTTTTCACTAACCTTCATTTGAGTGTGTTTATGTTAGATACCCACTCTTGTGTTGCATATGTGGAGTCGTATAACCACCCATTTGAGTTGTGTGTGGCCCCGTGTGATTATGTGCTGCATAATAAGAAGTTTAAAAGCTCTCGAGTTCTCGAGAGTGTGATGTACCCCAGTTATGCGCATATTATAAGTATACTATCCCCTCAGAAAAAGTAGTTGTGTTCCCCGAGTTAATGTATTGACGCACTATGTAAAGTTTAAACATCCCTATCTTTAGATGTGGGTGTTTCGCCTGGGATAGTGCGACATACTGTTTGATAAGTATACACCACAAATTTGAGTGTGTGTTCTCTCCGTGTGCGGCCATATGTAAGTTACACCCATTTTATTATAGTATGAGGGTGTGTGTCCCGTGTGCGCAGTTATGTAGAGTTACAACTTTCCAACTCTCGATGAGAAATTCTAGTCTGTATCATTGTAGGAAATTTATCTAAACATCTTCAAAATTATTTTATTGCTAGAGTAGTTCTTAAGATTTTTATCAAATTACCGTTGTGATAGCAATACCTAAATATACGTGTGACATTAGACTATACTTTACTCCATAACAAAATTATTACTTATTTTCCATAAAAAATCTTAATTAACTGTTCTATGTCTGAAGAAGTATATCCCTACATACCACATGCAGAGACTTTGCGTAAGTACATCTCAAGCCCAAAAAGTGTGCAAAAATATTACGTTGTTTCTTTAATGGTTTATTCAAATTGAGCATGATAATAATCATGGTGTTTTCAAAAAAGACCGTTTGATTTTTATGGTTAATGTAATGAATAGTCTAATAAAGTAATAATGATATTTTATAAACAAAGGTTTGTGAATTGTATGTGTATAAAGGTAAAAATTCAGGAGTCTGATATTTTTAGCCTTATCTTTGATGCTTTGGTTACTATACACTTCCTACACTTTGGTTAGCCTCCTTTGTTAATATACAAGCAACAGTATATTGTAACTGCTCAGATCTTCTATATCCATTTGCTCATAAGGAACAGATCTTTGGAATGGAGCACAACCACATTATGATGAAGTATGTATATTGAATGGCTACAGTGCTTGCTTTTTATGGAACAAGTGATGGTCAACATAAATTTCAAATCATTATGTAGCCTATATGTATACTCATATTAAGAAAAATTCCATAAATAGTAGAACACAATCACAATGCAAGAGATGCAAGTCCACAGTTTTTGGAATTTGGATTAATCCAGTTTGACTCGTTATTCATGGATTGTTGTGTTTCCTATTGTCAGACTATTTGGTTCAACTGTAGAATTGTGCATTTGGTGTTTCTTTTCCTGCTGTGACTTCTTTATTCAAGCATTTTATATAGTAAATGTTTTTGGAACTAAATTATATATTGCTACCAGCTAATATAATATCTACTAGAATTGACATTAGAAATCAGAAGTTCACTTACTTAATTACTGTGACAAAGCTTTTCTGAATTAAACACAGTACCTCACCATTATTGTACAGTCAATTTCAACTCCACCCAGAGATCTTATTTTTGCTTGAGCAGATATTTAAAATGCAATCAATGGTAATGTGACTGTAGTTATATTGTAAGAAAAGTGGTCTTTAAACTGAAGTCACTTAAAAAGTTGAATAATCAGTTAAAGTAAAAAAGGCTTCAAGATAAGGGCTAACTAAAATCATAGATTGAATGTAAAAATAATAAATAATAAACAATTTCAGTTTATACTATTACTGTACACCCTTGCCCTCAACATATCACCAATGACTAAACTTGTTGAAACATATAAGTCATCCTCTGAGTTTGTGATATGAAAACTATAATCACCAACCTCCAAGATAAAATCAACCCTGCCAAAAGGATAGATCAACATGCCATTCATGGTGTTCGTTTTCGCACATAGGATGAAATATTTTGAAAGCCCTGGAACTAATTAATTAGACTAACAATAAATATTTTGTCATAGATACTATTATTTCCCTTGTCATTATTGTTAGGTGTAATCCTTTCATATTTTTTTATATATTGTCA